AAATAAAAATAAAAAAAGAAAGAAAGAAACACCATCTACATGTTCCTTACTAACTTTTTGCTGGCCTGAATTTATGATACCGACTGGAGACTAGAATCTTGACCTTCTCTTTTTCACTTAATTGAGGCAGCCATGGGTCCCAAGATCAGGTCACACTGTACAAATCATCCAAACTCTAGGTCAGTGGCAATGTGTGAGTTCAAGTTTAGGATGGAAGCAGTTCACTTTTCTGTCTCTAGGTGCCCGTGCCTTGTAAGAGCCGTTTCTCTGGTTGAGGGTGTCTCTTTGGGTTGGTCCTGAAGTGGGAATGTCCCTGACTTGCCGTGACCCCCTCAATTGGTCAACACAGTCTAGGTGGGTGCTTCCAGGGGCTAGGCACCCATCTGAGGTTGTGAAAGTTGATTCTGTCACCTAAACACTGAGTAGAGTTTGACTGAACAGGGCAAAAATTAAGTTTTGAATCTGCTTTGTTTCAAAACAGCCACTCAGAAAAATGATACATTTGGAAGAAGCCAGCAGAAGGAGTCTACAGGGGAGTTGTCGTGAGCCCCTGGGGTCAGAGACACTAGCTTGGTCTCTGCGCCTGTGGTCAAAGCACCCCAGGCAGACAGGCCTTTCCCAAGCCCCAACTCTACACCCAGCCTCCGTGCCTGGAACTCACACAGCACCCTGCCCCGAGTACAGGCATGCTCTGCCATGACGTTTCACCTGACTCAGGGCATTCTGGAGAGGGGCCCTTTGCCTGCACGTAGCGTGGCACTTGTTTCTGCCACAGCTGTACCTCTCGTGCTACCTGCTGACTCTCACAGGCAAGCTGTCCTATCCCTGTCCCCAGTGTGGAAGTTGCTTCAGCCAGGGGCCCACCAGTAGACCCCAGTGCCAGCCTGGTGCCGTGGACCTCAAGCGCTGACACACAGGTGTGAGCTCTGACCCGGGCTCTTCCTCAGGAGTGCCCAGACCCCTCTGTGAGTTTCCAGCACTGCCCAGAGCTCTTCCAGGCCTATGTGTGAGAGGCATCACTGTGAGGGGTGGGCATTGACAGATGATAAAACGCCATTACTCTCACTGAAAAAAAAATTTGTTTTCTTGTGTCCTTCAGGGGCCGGAGGCTAGGAGTAGCTAGGGCTCAGTCAAGTCCCTGGGCAAATCTGCATCCTTACCTTTTTCCAGGCTTTTCATCTTTTCCTTTCCCCTTTCTGCTTTGATCACCTCTACTTGCCCAGCTCCTCTGGTGTGGGGGAGAAGCATCCAGCAGATACAAGGTGCTAGGCAGAAGCCTCAGGAAGACCTCTGGAAGGAGGCAAGCGGAGAGAAGCTCCAGACTAGCCCCCAGACCTGGTGAAGGGAGGTGTGGAATGCAGTGATTTAGCCGGCCAAAGGAAAATTATCAAGTCTTTTTAGGGTAGGGTATTTATGAAGGCATGTGGGGACGCAGAGTAAGCCGTCAATACATGTGTGGAGTGAGAGAAGGAGGTTGGAGGTAGAAATGATAGGGAGAGTGGGTGCCATTCGCTTCTAAAGACCCCAGGAGGAGCAGGCTGCGGGAAGAAAGGGATGACGAGTTCAGTGGGAGCCATGCCTAGTGCGAAGTTCTAGTGGGGGTTCGTGCAGGGGCAAGGGGGCAGGTGGCTCTGTGATCAGGAGCTTAGGAGCCAGGCTTGAGCTAGAGGTAAACAGATGTTCGAGAGGCCTCCTGCAGGGCATGTGCGGAGAAAGTAAGAAAGTAAGGTTGCAGAAAGTGGGTCCTTCCGACTTTTACAGACCTTACCCTATCCCCCCTCCCAGCCGCCCCCACGATCTCCTGAAATAGAAGCTCCCAGAACTGCAGGCTCGAAGAAGCTCCCAGTAGAGACGGTTCTCTTTTACCCACTACATTTTTCTCCTCTCAACACTGGGGAAAGTGCGCTGTCACCCAGTGACGGGCCGAAACCCAGGAACCCACTTACGAACGGCCCGGCGACGAAGAGTAGCGTGGAGCTCACGAGGGCAGAGCGGGCCGGCTCAGCCCGCACCCTCCGCCGCGCCCGTCCCGCCTCCAAGCCCGGGCGGGGCTGCGGCTGCGCCTCCCAGCGCGGCGGGCGCGGGCACCTCGCGGGGCAGGGGAGGCCCGCCGCCCCCTCCCGCACTTGTAGCCGTCGCGGCCATTTTGGCTGAGGGCTCGGGGACAAAGCCACCTGGAGACCCCGGGGGAGGCGTCATCTGGGCCCGGTGGCGTAGGAGCAACGTTCGCGCGGCGCGTTGCCGCCATTTCTTTCCGATGCTCTGTGTCCCTTCCGCTCGCGGCTCTTGGTGCTTGACCACCCTGGTGGGCGCTCGAGGGGCGGGCTGCTGCGCTCGCGGCCTTCCGGACCGCGGACCCCGGCCCGGCCCTTGCCATGGCGCCGCCTCCGGCCCCGCTGCCCGCGTGGGAACCGGACGGCGCCGGGCGCGAGCGGAGGGGGCCGGGCGCCGTGAGCTTCGCGGACGTGGCCGTGTACTTCTCCCCCGAGGAGTGGGGCTGTCTGCGGCCCGCGCAGAGGGCCCTGTACCGGGACGTGATGCGGGAGACCTACGGCCACCTGGGCGCGCTCGGTGAGGCCCCGCCGGCTCGCCCGGGCCACCTCCCCGCCCGCCCCGCCCAGCCTCCCGGGCCGGCCCCGGCAGGGGGAGCCCCGAGGTCCGGGAAGCCGGGACGGCGGGGGGCGGCCTCCCGGCAGCGCGGGGTTTGCGTTCTCCTCCCCCAGGGTTCCGAGGCGCCAAGCCAGCTCTCATCTCCTGGGTGGAGGAAGAGGCCGACCTGTGGGGCCCGGCTGCCCGGGATCCGGAGGTGGGAGAATGTCTGACAGAAGCAGACGCAGGTGAAGTATTGGGTACTGCGTCTCCCGGGACCGCCTCTGGGCCTGGGCCACCCGGCTGCCCCTCTGCCAGCACCTTCCCTGCTCCTCATTTCCCTCCCCGGGTTGCCTGCCCCGCTGGGGTTACCATGCCGGCCCGTGCCTCGCTGCGGGCTTCAGCCCAGAAAGCGGCTGCGAGGGTGGCCCGGGCTCTGCTGGGGTGCGGATCTGGGCCCCTCACATCCTGTTGGTCTCAGAGCTCTCGAGCTTCACGTCGTCCCTCCTGCCGCTTTCCTACACTCTAGCTTCGCGGCCGCCTCTTGTGTTTTAGCTTCCTGTCTTTTTGTTACGTTTTTGTGGCCGTCTCCTTTCTCGTGTGGGGTCCACTGTTTGTTTCCTTCCTCCAGTTGATCCTTGCACCGCACCCCCTTCCCGTGAGCTTGGCAGTGCCGGCCACGGTCCTGCCTCCCTTGCCCTAACATGTTCCTGCTGCCTGGAGTGTCCTGAGACATCCTCTCCTCCTCCAGGATCCAGCAAGAATGTCCCCTCCGCCCCCATTTCCCCAGCTCTGAGGTAGAACGGAGGGTGTTCCGTGCCTTCCTTCCTTCTTTGTCTTGGTGTCTTTTCTGTCCTCTGCAGTTCAGGAGAATGTGTCCCTCCGAGCTTCCCTGCCTGTACCGAGCGGAGTCCCAGAGGCAGCAGTGGGTCCAGAGGTGGCTGTGTCTAAAAGGCGTCTCTGTCACCATTTGGGGTTTGGCCATAAGAACCAGGGTGAGCCAGGGTCTAAGCTCTCCCCTTACCTCCCAGCAGATTCCAGAAACAAGGAAGAGAAAAGACAAAGAGGAGGGACTGAGGCCCCGGAGAAGAGCCCTTCTGTGCAAGCTCGGCCTCCAACGCACCCTTCTGCTGGCTTCCCTGACAGCTCGGGGCAGCCGGCCAAGGCACCCCGCCGGGGTCGCCCCCCGCTCTGTGCGCATCCCCCTGTCCCAAGAGCCGACCAGCGTCATGGTTGCTACGTGTGCGGGAAGAGTTTTGCCTGGCGTTCCACGCTGGCGGAGCATCTGTACACGCACACGGGGGAGAAGCCCTTCCGTTGCCCCGACTGCGGCAAGGGCTTCAGCCAGGCCTCCTCTCTGAGCAAGCACCGGGCCATCCACCGAGGGGAGCGGCCCCATCGCTGCCTGCACTGCGGCCGGGCCTTCACGCAGCGCTCGGCCCTCACCACTCACCTGCGGGTGCACACGGGCGAGAAGCCCTATGGCTGTGCTGACTGCGGCCGCTGCTTTAGCCAGAGCTCTGCCCTCTACCAGCACCAGCGGGTCCACAGTGGCGAGACTCCCTTCCCCTGCCCGGACTGTGGCCGCGCCTTTGCCCACGCATCAGACCTTCGGCGCCACATACGCACCCACACGGGCGAGAAGCCCTACCCGTGCCCAGAGTGTGGGCGCTGTTTCCGACAGAGCTCCGAAATGGCAGCCCATCGGCGTACCCACAGCGGCGAACGCCCCTACCCCTGTCCTCAGTGTGGCAGGTGCTTTGGCCAGAAGTCAGCCATGGCCAAGCACCAGTGGGTCCACAGGCCTGGTGCCGGGGGGCACAGGGGCCGGGGTGCCGGTGCATTGCCTGTGCCTCTGGCCCCTGGCCAAGGGGACCGGGACCCACCTGTGGGCTTCCGGCACTACCCAGAAATATTCCAGGAGTGTGGGTGATGGTCCTAAAGATGTCAAGGCGAGGGGTGAAGATCTAGACATTGCCTGAGGCCCAGGTTGGGCTCAGGGGCCTGAACCTCTGTGGCAGCTCCAGGGAGGTCACACAATTCCAGGCAAGAGGTGGACCTGGGGGATGAGGACCCTCTTATCTTAGGCCTTCACGAGCTTGATCTGCTGACACCTTGCTCCCTACTGTCCCAGACTCTAGAAGCCCCCTCTGCTCCGTTAGGGCTGAGGTAAGCACCTGCACGAGACCTCCGCTGTGGGGACGAAAAGGCTGTTTCTCCACTTAGACATGTGAAGAGGATTGAGGTAGAAGGGAAGTTCGCTGTATCGGTTGTCTTTACTGCAGGCGTTAAAAACTGACGGCCTTGTACTGAATCTGGCTCGTGGCAACCTTTTACAAATTATCTTGGGTCCAACCAGCATTTAAAAATGTTACAAATCATGGTTAAGACTTAAAAGGATATTTCACACAAAAATTCAGGTTTCTGGCCTCTTGAAAAATTCAGGGATTTGGCAACTCGACCCGAGCTCCCACAAAGGAAAGGGTGGCAGGAAGCGCAGGGCAGCTGTTCAGCCTGCCCACCAGCCCTTCCCGGCTTGCCACCAGCGTTAGCTGGCCCTCGTCCTCGCTTGTCCGTGTCCCCAGTGCAGCAGGCCCTCTCCATCGGGCATTTTCCCCTTGTTTACGTGACCCGTTGGGCTCCTGTAGTCATTTGAGTTTGCAGACTGGTGGATAGCATTCATGTTCTATTTTATTTTTTATTTATTTTTATTTTTTTTTAAGATTTCATTTATTTATTTGACAGAGAGAGCGAGAGAGCAGAAGCAGGGGGAACAGTAGAGGGAGAGGGAGAAGCAGGGAGCCCAGTGTGGGGCTCAATCCTAGGACCCTGGGATCACGACCTGAGCCGAAGGCAGACACTTAACCTTCTGAGCCACCCAGGCGCCCCACATTCATGTTGTCCTGACCCAGGGATTCAGGTTGACAGCACCCGTGTGAAAGGGCAGGAGAAGAGAAGGAAACGCAGGCTTTATTTCAGATGTCTGCTTGTATCACGTTCTCCGGTTTACAAAGTACTGTCTTGTCCATCAGCTTGGACCTTGTCCACGTAGCTTGGAAAGGACAGCCCAGTCAGGAAGAGGCTGTCAGGACTCTGTATTTTGCCCCAAACCGAGAGGTATCTCTGCCACACCACGATAGGCCTCTTGGCTAACCGGCAGTTCCTGGTTTTGAAGAGGAAGGCTCTGAGTGTGCCCTCCAGTCCTCCTTGAGCCTCCCTGGGAGAGCCCTACTGCTTGGGCCTTAGCCACCAGCCAGCCAGCCAGCCAGCCAGGAGGGCCTCATCACATTTTTGACCTGGAAGAGATCTTAGCTTTTCTATCCTTTTGCATTTGGGGACTCAGACTGGGGAAGGCCAAACGACCCATCCAAGGTCACATACAGAGTGAGTGAGCCTCCAGGGTTCTTGGTGTACTGCTGTCTTTACCACACCACGCTTGAGTTCCTTGCCCGTGTCTCAGCCAGGGTTCTGGAGCAATCTGCTCCCTCCCTACGACAGCTCCCAAGCAATGACCTGGACTAGGGACAGAGCAACCCAGTGTCAGTGAGGCCCACTTACAAGATGATAGGACAGCCACACAGCAAAGCAAGGCAAGGGGGAAACCAGCCTAAGATGAGAGTTCCGGGGCAAACAGAAGCAAAGCTTGCCTCTTCTCAAGTACCTCCCATCATGAACAAAGAGGGACAAGGCCAAGAACATTTGGGGTTAGTAGCCAAGGGAACTGCTCATCTGTATTCCCAAGCCGTGTCACTTGTGACTCCATTATCCATCAGCCACCCAGTTCCCCTGTGGTCAGGGTCCAGCCTTGTCCCAGTGACGCCGCCACCAGCCACGGGCCGACCCATTCCTGCCTCCTTCACCTTCACTTCAAGGAGTAATAGCAGGGGCTTATGTCTTCTGCCGGTCTGTGCGCACCCGCCTTCTTCACCCAAATCTGCCCCATGTCCTGTCTGGCCTACCTTAGGAAGAAACCAGATTTGTCAACCTAGAGAAACTTCTAAAGGAAGAGGTAGAAAATCTGGGGGGAAAGACACTGTTCAGGTGAAATAATCAACTGAATTGATATCAATTTAATCTTCAGATCTGACCCCATCAGGACCTGGCTTACCCTAAACTTTACTGGGAGGGTTGGCTCAGGCGCCATCTTGTCACAAAGGGGACGTGCAGTGAAAAGAGGCACCTTGACAGCAGGACCTACCTTTGTACCAGCTTTTAATTCCCTAAAGAGAAGCCAGTGTACAACCCTTCCCTTGCCTCACCCTCAGCACTGCCCGGGGAAAGTCCAGCCTGCAATACCAGTTGTCAGCTCAGATTCAAAGTCAGATCTGGATCCTGTCCTCAGCTTGCCAATTAAAGGTACCATAATTACTACTTTCTCCGAGTGCTTTGAAGTTTGCAAGGCTTGCTTAGGTCCCCAAAACCAGACCCAGCTCCTCTGCTTCCTGCCCTCACGACCCAACTTTCTGCCATTTAATCGATTTTTGAATGTCACGAAATGCTTAAGCCTTAGCCTCACTCCGTTCTCAGCTCCTCGTTTCTTGGCGTGGATATTGCCACCAGAGATGGGGCTCCCTTTTCTCTCTCTGCTACCATAGGTCTTTAAGGCTTAGACCCCAAAGCACTTTAAGCCAGGAAGAGGGTTTTCCTAGGGCTTTCTTGGTGCATCAGGAGAAATGCTTGTCTGAACCAGACAAAATGAGCCCCATCCAAATGGCCAGAGTGAAAGGTCAAAGTCATGACCACATGACCCATTCCTAACTTGTCCAAGCCATGTAAAATAAGGACAAGTGCCGACTTGAGCTTTTAAAGACCCCTAAACATTTTTTAGAAGATTTTTAAAATGTATTTATTTGAGAGAGAGAGAGCACAAGGAGGGTGTGTGGCAGGGGAGTAAGGAGAAGCAGGCTCCCCACTGAGCAGGAAGCCCCACAGGGAACGTGGACTCCATCCTAGGACCCTGAGATCAGGACCTGAGCCGAAAGCAGATGCCTTTTTTTGAAGATTTTACTTATTTATTTGACAGAGACACAGCGAGAAGGGAACACAAGCAGGGGGAGTGGGAGAGGGAGAAGCAGGCTTCCCGCTGAGCAGGGAGCCCTATGTGGGGCTCGATCCCAGGACCCCGGGATCATGACCTGAGCTGAAGGCAGACACCTAACCGACTGAGCCACCCAGGCACCCCCCAAAAGCAGATGCTTAACCGACTGAACCACCCAGGCGCCCCAAGACCCCTAAACATTTTTGAATGTTTGTTTATGTGTGTGTCTCTAGGAATGGGATGTGCAAAGATGTTTATGACCCAAAGAAGCAAAAACCTGCTGTAGGCCACTATTTTTCTTTCTTTTTTTCCCCCTTTTTAAAAGATTTTATTTATTAGAGAGAAAGCGAGCACAAGCAGCGTGGGGAGGGGCAGAGGGAGAAGGAGAAGCAGACTCCCCACTGAGCAGGGAGCCCAATGTGGGGCTCGATCCCAGGACCCCAGGATCATGACCTGAGCTGAAGACAGATGCTTAACCAACTGAGCCACCCAGGCGCCCCTAGGCAAGTATTTTTCAAAGTAAGGTCTTTCTGGGGCACCTGGGTGGCTCAGTCATTAAGCGTCTGCCTTCGGCTCGGGTCATGATCCCAGGGTCCTGGGTTCGAGCCCCACATCAGGCTCCCTGCTCGGCAGGAAGCCTGCTTCTCCCTCTCCCACTCCCCCTGCTTGTGTTCCCTCTCTCACTGTGTCTCTCTCTGTCAAATAAATAAAATCTTTAAAACAAACAAACAGACAAACAAAGTAAGGCCTTTCTGCCACAGAATCCCATTCAGTAACTTTAAAATGTAGCCAGCTCCCTGGGCTTTATCTCTGGACTATTGAATCAGAATCTCCAGGGATGGACTCTCACACCTGGTAATGATGCTCTGAACAAAATGTTACTTTCTAGCTGCTTTTAGTTTTGCAAATGCTTGAGGTCAGAGGATGACAAAGACTCCCATTTTCTTTGTTCTTCCCAAAGGGGCCTGTGCCGTGGCTGAGCTCTTGCGGGTACCTCAAATCTTCTTGAATATACAGGGACGTCTCTCGTAGCATCTGTCCGTTGCATGCAGGGAAAGAGCAGTTCATGCAGGAGTCCCCCTCACACTGAGGGCCTTTAGTGCAACCATAAGTGTTGCACACCGAATACCTCTGCCCCAGCGCTGCCACCCACCGGGAACGATCCTATGGACAAAGAGCCGCCCAACTCAGGACACAAACCCAGCTCTTCCTCACCAGGACACAGTGGTAGAATAAGGTCAGTGGACTCTTGCCTTGGATCCGTTGGTGCCGGGTCAAGCTGGAACCCACATCAGAGGATTCCCTGTGCTTAGAGCCTCTCACTGCTATGGGTGAGTGGCAGACAGGCTGGTTGCTTCTCAGGCCCATTGCATGGATAGGCCTGGTGCTGGAGGAGGCTGCCTGGAAGTCAGCTACTCCTTTACTCTAGGTTACTAGAAGACTGAATGTCCATGTGGGTGCTCGATCCCAGGACCCCAGGGATCCTCATGGGTGTCCATGAGGGTGCCAAAGCAGCTTGCAGCCCTGCCCTGACTTCTGCTACATGTGGGGCTTGTGGAGAGTGCTGCAGGCAATGGGACCAGGTCGGAGCTGGGGCTGGATGCCTCGCCACACACTTTGCAGGGAACAGCTGCTCTCCTGTGTACGTTTTCTGGTGGGTAAGCAGGTTGGAGGTCAGAGAAAAGTGGCTCATGAAGGAGACTTTTGTTTCTCATTTGTGTGAGTGCTTTGGGAATGACCAGGGGGTGCTCCAGGGCCAGCTCCTTCCATAGTCAGTGCACTGGTAGGGTGTCCTGCCCGTGTGGGCCATCTAGTGCTGGACTGGGTGAGCCATTCTTCACAGAAGGTTTTAGGACAGACCGACAGTGGGGTGGGAGACAGGCATGGAGCTGGGGAAGCTGTTCCTCTGCGGGGGAGAAACGTGCTCCTGCTTTATTTGTAGGGAGATAATTGTGATTCTATTTGTAAGCCTCTGTTGTCTCTAGGCTTTTACTGCTTGCAATTCTCCAGATTCTTGTTCTCATCTCTTTTCAGGAGAATGGAAGATGCCATCTTTCCTCCTAAACCAGTTTCTTCCTTTCATTTGTCTGAGAAGGTAACGAGAAAACACTTAATCATGGCTCCTGCATCACTCACACAGGGAGGATTTGGCTCATCAATTGTCAAGAACGCTACCAAAATACTTTCAGCAGCAAGGGTAAAAAAGGGGACAAGAATTGTCTTTCCAGAATCACTTTTCCCTTGATTCAAAGCTGCACCAAGGGCAGTGTTTCTTAGGTTCCCTTCTACAAGCTTCTGTCCAAGTCAGACAGGGACCGGAGAGTTCTTAGCTCCCTTAATGGCCAGATGGTTCTCTACTTCTGAACTCCGCCACCCTCACCTGGAAGTAACTCCCATAGGATCCCTGCCTCTCTGTGAGAAAACCCAGGAACCAGGGACTAAGGCTCCCACTTCGGGGAAGGTGGAAGGGATAGGCAGGTAATAGAAAAGAAAGCAGCCTCCTCTCTGCGGGAGGATCGGCCAACTGACCCCTTCAGCACCAGGAATCTGTGGGAGAAAGGAAAGTGCTGGGAAAGGAAGTATGCGGGAGACCGGGGTCGGGTGGGGTGGGGGGGGAGTAGGGAAGGTTGTCTGTCTCCAGATCCCTTGGCTTTCTTCAGAGAGATAAGACATAATGAAAGGTAAGTGGGGGCGGGAAAAGTTCTGAAAGCACCAGCCCGAGGACGGGAAGGGAGACGCCAGGCACCTCCCTCTCAGCCCTCCCGCAGGCACTTCTGACCGCTGGGGTAGGTGGAACCGGCCTGCCCCCTCCAGCCAATCAGAAAGGCGCCTCGCGTTCCCTGGCGACCATTAACGCCTAGCAGTTGGTGTAGTGGGAGGAGGCGGGACGATGAGAGCACAAGCTCCCCCGGCCAATCGCTGTACTCCTTGGGAGGTAGGGGCGGTGCCTCTGGAAACCGGAGGCGGGGCTGTTTCCTTGGCAACGATGCTAGCCCTCCCCGAGTGGGTAGGGTGGAGATTAGGAGGAGCAGAGAGGGGAGGAGGCCAGGAGGAGTGAGGGTGGGCGCGCCGGTGCGGAGGAGTAGAGTTCGGGTTGGGGGGTGGGAGCCCCAGACTCAGGAGCTCAAGGCTGGGGGTGGGGTCCGCCTAGGTTCCCGAGGCGCGGCCGAAGCTGACCCCAAGGCCCGGGAGGGGAGGGGAGCTAGACGCCGCCCCCGCTGGCGCCGGGAAGCGTCGCTCCTTCTCGCTGACCTTGGTCTCGCTTGTCGCCTCGCCCTTGGCCACAGGCACTGACGGACGCAGGGCCCGGGTGACGGATAGATAGGCTCCTGGACGGACGGAGACCTAGGACATAGCACACAAACTACCCCAGCCTTTCCTGCCGGCTCCAGGGCTCCCTGTCATCCCCCACCTCAAAGCCGGGGCCATCCAGCCCAGGGTTAATGCCAACGAGTTTCCACCTCCAGCCGCTCCTAGAGAGGCCGTGGCGCTAGCCAGCGGGGGAAACTGGCCGCGGACGGACACTTCCTGTGCGGGGGGGAGGGGGGAGGGGGTCGGACAGCCGCAGCCCAGCCGGGGCTGGGGGGCCAGACGGCGGGGTCGCGGGCGGGGAGCGGCGTCCGGGGGCGGCAGGGCGAGTCGTGAAGACCCTCGCCTCCGAGGCCACGACGCACGGGGGCCTTGGAGGGCCCCAGGGCAAGGCGAGACCTTGTGGGTGGGGGCGGGGCCGCGGGTAGGGGAGGGGCCCGGCCGGCCAGAGAGGCCCGGGGTCAAGACGTCCGGCCTCAGGGGCCCGGTCTGGGCAGCCGGGTCCCCTGGGCGGCGCTGAGCAGGCGGGCGGCGAGGGCCCGGGTCTCAGGGTACTCAGGCCTGGTCGCAGGATCGTCCGCCATCGCCGCCGCCGCCGTACTGGGAGCCGGCGGGGATGGAACGGGAGGCGTCGCCGTGGGGCCTTGAGCCCGGGGATGTGCAAAGTCCTGACGAAGTGGGGAGCCCCGAAGGGTCCCTCAAAGGTGAGGGAGGGAGCGTCTCTCTGAGGAGCGTGCCTGGGAGCGGGAGAGGGGGCTGTGGGCCGTGGGAGGGGAAGAGAGCGGGGGGTTGGGACACCTGGGACTTGGAGGAGGCGGGGGCGGGGACTGGAAGTCCTGGGTCGGCGGAGGGGGAGGTGGGAATTTCAGCACCTGCTCCAGGGCCAGCGACCCTGCTGGAGGAGGAGGGAGAGGTTTGTGGCAACTAGTGGTGGGACCAAATGACCTTCCAGGCCCCGCACAATCTGGGTTTTCTGTAATTCTCTGATCCTGCAGGCAACATGAGTGAGAATGAGGAAGAAGAAATGTCTCAACAAGAAGGCCCTGGGGACTATGAGGTCGAAGAGATACCCTTTGGGCTTGAACCCCAGAGCCCTGGGTTTGAGCCACAAAGCCCCGAGTTTGAACCCCAGAGCCCCAGGTTTGAGCCTGAAAGCCCAGGTTTTGAGTCCCGAAGCCCTGGGTTTGTGCCCCCAAGCCCTGAATTTGCACCCAGAAGCCCTGAATCAGAGAGCCCTGAGTTTGAACCCCAAAGTCCTAGGTATGAGCCCCAAAGCCCGGGGTATGACCCCAAGAGCCCTGGATATGAACCCCGGAGCCCTGGGTATGAACCCAAGAGCCCTGGGTATGGACCCCAGAGCCCTGGGTGTGAATCCCAGAGCCCGGGATATGAGGCCCAGAATCCTGAGTTCAAAACCCAAAGCCCTGAATTTGAAGCTCAAAGTTCCAAATTTCAGGAAGGTGCAGAGATGCTTCTCAATCCTGAGGAAAAGAATCCCTTGAGCATCCCCTTGGGAGTCCACCCCTTGGACTCCTTCACCCAGGGGTTTGGGGAGCAGCCCACAGGGGGCCTGCCCCTAGGGCCACCTTTTGAGATGCCCACAGGGGCCCTGCTGGCCACACCCCAGTTTGAGATGCTCCAGAATCCCCTGGGCCTGACAGGGGCCCTTCGGGGGCCAGGCAGGCGGGGTGGCCGGGCCAGGGGTGGGCAGGGCCCTCGGCCTAATATCTGCGGCATCTGCGGGAAGAGCTTCGGGCGGGGCTCCACCCTGATCCAGCACCAGCGCATCCATACGGGTGAGAAGCCCTATAAATGTGAGGTCTGTAGCAAGGCCTTCTCCCAGAGCTCTGACCTCATCAAACACCAGCGCACCCACACGGGCGAGCGGCCCTACAAGTGTCCCCGTTGTGGCAAGGCCTTCGCCGACAGCTCTTACCTGCTTCGCCACCAGCGCACCCACTCTGGTCAGAAGCCCTACAAGTGCCCGCACTGTGGCAAGGCCTTCGGTGACAGCTCCTACCTCCTGCGGCACCAGCGCACCCACAGCCACGAGCGGCCCTACAGCTGCCCCGAGTGCGGCAAGTGCTACAGCCAGAACTCGTCCCTGCGTAGTCACCAGAGGGTGCACACCGGGCAGAGGCCCTTCAGCTGCGGCATCTGCGGCAAGAGCTTCTCGCAGCGCTCGGCCCTCATCCCCCACGCCCGCAGCCACGCCCGCGAGAAGCCCTTCAAGTGCCCTGAGTGCGGCAAGCGCTTTGGCCAGAGCTCGGTGCTGGCCATCCACGCCCGCACGCACCTGCCGGGCCGCACCTACAGCTGCCCCGACTGCGGCAAGACCTTCAACCGCTCGTCCACGCTGATTCAGCACCAGCGCTCGCACACGGGCGAGCGGCCCTACCGGTGCGCCGTGTGCGGCAAGGGCTTCTGCCGCTCCTCCACGCTGCTGCAGCATCACCGGGTGCACAGCGGCGAGCGGCCCTACAAGTGCGATGACTGTGGAAAGGCCTTCTCGCAGAGCTCCGACCTCATCCGCCACCAGCGGACCCACGCAGCCGGCCGGCGCTGACCTGGGGCCCCGCCCGGGGGTGGGGAGGTGGTGGGCACAAGAGAAGGGGCCAGGGAGCTAGAGAAAAACCTTTAGAGGGGATAGTGGGAAAGCTGGGGGGAGGACGGAGGAGTCTAGGGCCAGGGGGCCGGAAGTTACGTGCCCTGGAGACTTATGGGAAATGGGCTATGAAGAGGGGTTGGAGAGAGGCCAGGCAGGCAGTGGGAGGTTCTGGGAGAGATCCAGGAGAGAGGTCAGCAGAGAGCTGGCCTCGGCGGCAGCATGCCCCTCGGTAGGTGCCTGGCGTGGCAAAGCGCTAGGCGGGGGTTGGGGGGGAGGGGGGAGGGTTACTTAATTAGAGTGGGGTAGCTTAGATTGGTAGCTACTGAGACCCTCCTTGAGTCAGGAAGGGGTGAGGGTAGGTGGGGTGGGGAGTGGGCCCTGGGGTGGGGCTTGGGCCTCAGTGCAAACCCCAGCCTCCCTTGTCTTCCTCAGGCTTTGGAGCCCCTGAATTTGAGTTCAATAAAAACCTTTATGTGGCAAAAGAGACTTGTCCTTAAAATGTGTGCAGGGGCAGTGCCCCGGGCAGCGGGAAACACTTCGGTGATAAGTACACCGAGCCAGTGAAGCCGTAGGGTCCTGTCTGGGAAGCGCTTTTATGTTCCAAGTTTCCCTGGAATCTTAGAATCTGATGCTCAGGAGACGTGACCCGCCCATATATCCCCAAGTTTTGTCTCATGCTTTGAATCCTGCACAAACACACAGGGAGCCCAGTGTGGGAGGGGTGAGAAAGCCTTCGACTTTGTGGGTTATCCCTTTTACCAAACACAGAGAGAGGGTCTGTCCTTGGGCCAGAGAACAGACCCTGTTCTCATAGCCAGGCATAGAGCCTGTGTTCCATCTCTTTTTGGCTCCCTGCGTCTAGTTGTGCCATCCTCCTCTCCCCTCCCCAGCCGGAACCTCCGGCCATCACTTTGTGCGGACCCCGAGTGCCCAGAACCACAAAGAGTGCCTGCAGTCCCGACCCCACCTGAAGGGGGCACATAGGGGACCCAGTGAGAGGATTAAACAGCTCTAGCCTTTAAGACCAACCCACCAGGCTGGGCCTGATTTGCCACACCTCTGCCTCTTTTTTAGGACCCCTGGGCCTATTGGGATCACCCTGCTCCCACCCTGCCTTTATCCTACTTTTCTTTCCTATCTGAGCCTCAGCCCTCCTAATACGTGGCTCTCAGGAAAGAATGGCGAGTCGGTGTTAGCGGTGAGTCTGTGGGATCCTGGGGTGTGGCCCGCCTTGACCTTATTGACATTATTTTTCAAGTAAAATCTCTTGGTCTTTTAAAGACCTTTGTAAACTTTATGCACATTTTTGTACAGATACCCTACCACACATAATTTCAAATATTAAAATACTCCATATTTCATATAGTTCATATATGTAACCTACAGATGTTAGATAGAACTGCATTTGACTACCTGACATATTACATTTGTAGACATTTACTTTAACACATTTCAATTATACAACTTAATTTTTGTACTTTGGAGCTGTTTTTTTTTCAGCTCCCAAACATGTTTGTAGGCCATTGAAAGCCGGGGGGCCCTGGGCATGGTGCTTGTGGTGCTGAATTGATAAAGGAGCCTGCATGCTACTTATGAACCTTAGCATTTAAAGCAGGTCAAGTGAGGGGGGCCTCAGCTGCTCGGCCGCCACCCCTCTCTTCCACACAACAGCTCCTGAGGTTCCCTCAGATCCCAGGTGGGGCAAAGCAGCCCAAGAAGGGCATGCATCTTTCTCAAGGTCACCGCAAAGAACTAGGACTCCAGTGCCAGGTCTTTTGCAGTCCAGCATGCCGCTTTGACCACATCGTCCTGCACAGCTAAACCATTTTTTTAAAAAGTCATCTTTCCATCCAACGTGGAGATTGAACTCATGACCCCGAGATCAAGAGTCGCCTGCTCCACCGACTGAGCCAGCCAGGCGCTCCACAACTAAACCATTTTTTTAAAAAGATTTTATTTATTTATCTGTCAGAGAGAGAGAGAGAGAGCGAGCACAAGCAGAGGGAACAGCAGGCAGAGGGAGAAGCAGACTCCCCGCTGAGCAGGGAGCCCGATGCAGGACTCGATCCCAGGACCCTGGGACCACGACCCGAACCAAAGGCAGACACTCAACAACCGAGCCACCCAGGCATCCCCACAACTAAACCATTTCTATTCCCCACCTTTATCAAGCACAGATGTGCTCCCAAAAGTTCTAGACCACTTGCAAGTGTTATATCATGTTCACAATAGCTCTGAGGGATATACAGTTATCATTCCCATTTTACAGATGAAGAAATGAGTCCCAGAGAAGGTAAGTAGTGGCCCCACCTGGCACAGCTGCGAAGCAGCAGAGCCTGGACTCAAACCTGACTAGTTTTGACTATTTTCCCAATGATACTAAGGTGTTACTTTTTCACTTTGTGCCACGAGGACGGTGTTTTCCAGAGGCTACATGGCCTGTGAGAACATATGTCATCATTCGGACAGCTTGTGGGCAATGTGGACTTGGGTGTCCATATGTTTTAAATTTTTCTCCATTTGAATTTCTAATTGAACAAACACCAATAGATATAACCCATATAGACAAAAACTCTGGGGATCTTTAATTTTTAAGAGCATAAAGAGGTCCTGAGCCCTAAACATGTGAAGGCCACTGAATCAAACACTTATTGAATGTCTTCTTTGTTGCCAGCCCTGGGGAGGGTTCAGTGTTGGTAACACAAGTGAGCAAAGACTGAATCCTGCCTTCTAGAACCTCCCAGTCTTGAGGGAGGAGCCCACACCGTGTTATGTGTACTAAAGGGGTATAAAGTGAAGATGAAATGGGTCATTTTGTCTAGGAACCGAGGGGATGAGAAAAGCTTGAGAGTGCTTTGAAGTAGGAAGATTTTAAAGGATAGAAAGGGGCTGGAATTGGACAGGCTGGCAAGGGGAACAGCATTTGCAAAGACAGGGGCGGGGAAGGACATGTGGGTAATTGAGGACGGGGGCTCTTAAGGGAGCGGGGATATAGATTCCTGGGCAGGTCTGTTCCTGAAATGAACCTCCCAGATTTTCTGTGCTATTTTGCTCCCAACCCTGATGAAAATGTTCACTTTTTGGGTGTCTGTCACAGAGCATCAGCGACGTAAGAGGACCCTCCCCATCACTCTCCAGCCTGCTATCCTGCTTTATCTTCTTCACAACCCCTCCGCCACGTGGAATGACATTTCTACCTTTTCACTCTGTTTTCCCACTGGGGTGATGCTTCCTGGGGGCAGGGACTTGTCTGTCACATTCATCACCGTGCCCTCGGGGCACAGAGCAGGCCCTGACACAGAACTCTCAAGAAATACTGCGTGAGGGCGCCTGGGTGGCTCAGTTGTTTGGGCGACTGCCTTCGGCTCAGGTCATGATCCTGGAGTCCCGGGATCGAGTCCCACGTCGGGCTCCCTGCTCTGCGGGGAGTCTGCTTCTCCCTCTGACCCTCCCCCCTCTCATGTGCTCTCTCTCATTCTCTCTCTCTCAAATGAATGGATAAAATCTTAAAAAAAAAAAAAAGAAAAGAAATACTGCATGAATCCATAAAAGCCGACGGGCTTCACGAGACCTACAGATAACTTCATGCACTTTTAGCATTTCTGTGGTATTTCTGACCATTAGAACATTTTTCCCCCTCTCTGGGAAAATGGGCCTCACTTCTTCCTTCCTGAGGTCTTTCTTATGAGCCAACCCCATGGTTCCTTGGGTGCTGGACCAGAAGGGGGTTGAGGAGGTGGAAGAGGCCGGCAGGCTTTGAAATACTGTTCTGGGTCTTGTATGCCAGGCTCGAGAATGTTCGCTTACACCCTGCAAGCAGAAGGGACCCCTCAAAGGTCACTGCTTGGGAGACGGAATGTTGCTTCTCAGCTCCCAGTGCTGGACCCAGAGGGCTGGGCTGAAAATTACTCCATATTCTGCCCCTTCCCCCCCATCCCTCCCAGGGTCCTACTGACCACAAGAGGGCAGCAGCGAGGAGCCCCTCTGTCCCTCCTAAAGGTGGGGGCCTCCGGATCAAGCCCCACCAATTGTTGTTTTAGAAAAAGGCCAGGGAGGGTCTATTCTCACACCTTAATGAATTGTCAATGCCTTATGCAGGTCAGTCTCTGAGGGTTGTCATAACAAAAAAGAAAAAGAAAAAAGAAAGAAAAGATAAAAGAGAAGAGCTGTTTGGGTCCCACTTAGAGAAAGGGTTGAGAAGGAAATGTTCATTTAATTGAGCCAGGCCAGAATGGGGCACCAGCATAAAAACATCACAAAACTGGACGGATTTTCACATTTATTGGGTAAACATTGGCAGGCACTGTGTTTGGTGCCAGGAGCCGGGTGGACAGACATGGCGGGTGCCTTGAGCTCACAGCCTCCCGGTGGGGGCCACGGTGGGGCGTGGGGCGTCCCCTTGGGGGCTGTGGAGCAAGGACGCCAGAGCCCAGGGAAAGACCGAGCCTTGAAGGGTGGAGATGCCATGGGCCCACCCAAACGTTTTCTCCATCTTCCCGCTGGCACCCTCCCTAGTTCGGTAAAATTGTGTGCCTGGCTCTGTGATGTTACCAAGGTGAACATGACTGGTACGGTCCCTACCCCCATGGAGTCCATGGCTGGATTTGAGAGATGAGCATTAAGTAGCGAACATGATCCACGCAATGAAGGAGAGTGCAGGAATGTTCCAGGCAGAGGGAGCAGTCTGGGTGAAGGCAGTGAGACAGGAAGGAGCTTGGCTCGTGAGGAAGGCTGGTGTAACTGGAGCTCAGGAAGGGAGGTGGGGAGTCTCTGGAGGAGGCCAGGAAGGCAACAGAGGCCCGAATTTGCACTGGCATGTTAAGGATATTCTGCAGATTCTGGAAGGCATGCTCAGGAACTTGGTCTCCAGCCCCAGAGCAAAGTAGTGACACGGATCAGGTTTGCTCTCCGGCAGCACACGGAAAGCTGACAGGACTCCGGGCAGGAGAGAGTGAAGGGCAAGGTTCTGGGAGTCTGAGGCCTCTGGGGACATCCAAGGGCAGGTGGGTGTGAGGGCCGGGAGAGTCACTAGGTCCTGAGATGACAGTTTTTCCAGATTTAGAGCACATACTGTCTTCCAGGGGAGGATACTAAGAAGGACTGGGGCCAGCCAGAGCCAGCTGACCATGACAAGGCCTCCCCTCTGTGGCCTGCCCGCCCATCCCTTAGGGGCCCTCACCATGAGCCCGCAGAGCAGGCAGGCAGGAGTGAGCGCCATGTTCCAGACAGCAACACGGAGGCCCAGGTGGGGGCAGTGACTTGCCCGAAGACACACAGCGAGACATAGGTAGAGGCCGAGGGCCAGCCGGCATCCCGAGTCCAGTCGTGGGCCCTCTGCGTCAGGCTGGGGCCTCAGTCTTTGCCGTCCCCATCCTGGGCCTCCTCCTTGTGGAGGGGTTCTAGGCAGCCCGGGTCCCCAGTCTCTTCCTCGGACACTGGCTTCTCAGAGTCTTCTCTAGGGATTCCATTGGAAGCTTCTGCAGTAGCCTCCATCTTCTCCTTCAGGTTCCGTTTGAAGAAGCCAAACTGCAGGAAGACAAAACTGGAGTGAGGAAAGTCCATGGAACACTCTGGACCAATCGGCCTCGGCAAAACATCAAAGCACCCTTCATGGTAATGAGTCGTGCGTGCCACGGGTGCATGGTATCCTCTCCAGGGACGGGGCGAGCTTCCTGGCAGTATGTTGAAAAGCTGTATGTTTAACAGTTTATTCTTCAGGCTCATCAAAATGTCACGGACCAATATTTGGGGTGGGCGGTCTGTCAATATCCGGGAATACTAACAGCGATAGCCTGCGCTTACATGGTGCTTCGTATGGGCCACGTACTCTCTGTTGAAAGCTCAGAACATACGTATTCTTTTTTTTTTTTTTTCCCCCAAAACGTATATATTCTTTGGCTTAGCCATTCCAGCTCCAGGAATTAATTCTAAAGAAGTTTTGGACAAGTGTGCAAAGATGTGGGAGCCAAGAGCCATTTTTGGTCACTGTTTAAAATAGGTGGCAATTAGGGGCGCCTGGGTGGCTCAGTGGGTTAAGCATCTGCCTCTGGCTCAGGTCATGATCCCAGGGTCCTGGGATGGAGCCCCAAGTTGGGGGGGGGTGTCCCTGCTTAGTGGGGAGTCTGCTTCTCCCTCTCCCTCTGCCCCTCCCCCCGCTTGTGTTCTCCCTTGCTCTGCTCTCTCTCTCTCGATCAAATAAATAAATAAATAATCTTTAAAAAAAATAGGTAGAAATTACAAACAATCTAAATGCTTATCAGTGGGGATCTTGTCTAAATAAAAGGTGGGCCATCCAGACAGCAGCAAACCAGCCAGGTTAAAGAATAAGAGGTGCATCTGACTGTGCTCACACGGAGAGACAGCAAGACAGAGTATCCGGCGGGATATACAAGCTCCCAAGCAGTTTATATGGTATCCTTCCATTTACGTTTTCTTCTTTTTTTTTTAAGATTTTATTTATTTGACAGAGACACAGCGAGGGATGGAACACAAGCAGGGGGAGCGGGAGAGGGAGAAGCATGCTCCCTGCCGAGCAGGGAGCCCGACGCGGGGCTCGATCCCAGGACCCTGAGATCACGACCTGAGCCGAAGGCAGATGCTTAACGACTGAGCCACCCAGGCGCCCCCCATTTACGTTTTCTACCTGTGTACACAAACACTGACTTTTCTCTTTGTTTCTCTCATGCTCACACGTATACACATATTTAAACAACAAAATTAGAACCTGGAAGAACAGAAACCGAATGGTTGTTAGCAACAACCCTCTGGGAGTGCAACAGGAAGAAAGCGATTTTCTGCGTTGTCTTTTGCTGGACTATTTGAGGGTTTCATCTGGAACATCTGCCCTCTGGCATTCTTCACCTGGCGACTCCTCCTTCAAATCCCAACTCAAATGCCTCCTCTCCTGGGAGGCCTTCCCGGACTCCCCCAGCCTAAGTGAGGCTCCAGCACAAAGGCCCTTGAGTGGAGCCCTTACCACGTGTGTGCCCCCATTAGACTGTGAGCCCCCCAAAGGCAGGGACCATGTCTGTGGGATGTCGCTCTGTCCCAGGGCCCGGCCCTTGAGATGTGGGCGCAGCCCCCTTCCCCAGGTCCCCAGTCCTGGCTCTGCCAGTGCTTGGTGGAGGCATGGGGGGAAGTCTCCCTTGCTCTTTGGGCCGCACGAGCCTTATCTGTAGAAGGAGGGAGGAGGCTGAGGCCGCCTCTAGCTTTAACGCTCCCTGATCCTGACATTCTCCGCCCCGACCCCCGTGAAACCCCTTTCCCAGCCTGGTTGTCTCAGGCAGGCGCGTGGCTCCCAGCAGCCCCCACCTTGTAGAGGACAGCGAAAATCACGAGCAGCAGCAAGAGCCCCCCGATGCCGCTCAGCACGTACACGTGGAGCATTTCCTTCTCGTAGACGATGTCAACTTTCATGATGACCTGCAGGAGGAGAGAAGGGGCTGTAAGGAGAAGGCTCTCCCACCTCCGACATGCTTGTGAACGGCGAGGTCGCCGCGTTTCTGGTCGGGACTGCGGCCCGACACCGCCAGGCTGGCCTGGACGCCTCTCCCCAGTGAACCTCCCCGTGCAGCTGCCCGAGTGAGCTGGTAAACGTGCACACCACCCATCGGAAGCCCTGACATGGCTTCCTCGGGCCCAGAATGAAATGCCAGAATCTCAGCTCAGCATGCAAAACCTTCCAGAATCTGGCTGAGGTGCAGCTTCCCTTCCCCTGCTCCGAGCTTCCTGCCTGGGTGGCCTGGGCCCCCACACGAGCTGCTTGCTCTGCTTCGGGCACTTGCCCGTCATGCTCAGAGTGGGCACGGGGTGGGTACCCTTTGCTGAGCTGCCATCGAATTGATCTCTGCCTGACACGTCTCAGACGGGTGACCGTGGGGCCCGCTTGCCAAGCGGTGGCGGGGCGCCCACGGCATCCAGCACGGCCTTCGCCAAGGCCCACAGCTCTGAGCGCCGGGAAGCTCTTCCTTCTGGGCCCAGCCCACACCTCCCACGGGGCCCTCCTGCTTCTGGGTCAGCTCTTCCAGCTCTGCCCTGGGGCTCCACGGAGCCCTCTGCTGCCCTCTGTTCCCGAAGCTTCTGAGGAGGCAAAGCCATACCTGGGCCAGGGAGGCATTGCTGCCGTAGAGGTGGAAATGCTTGCTGCTGTTGAAGGAGATGGAGAGGGAGCTGCAGAGGCTGAACATGGAGGGGGCCTGCGGGAGGGGTGGGGGAGACGTCAGGCCAGGGGAACAAGGAGCAGAGCCCACTGACCTCTGCACCCCACCTCGACTGAGGGGGAGAAGCCGAGGAGAAGGGGCCGCAGTGGGGTGCACCACGGCTTCTGAGTTCTCTACCGTAGCATCCTAATGGGCCACGTCCCACGGCTGGAAGGAAAGTTTTCCTACAGAGAACCCAGAAGAACCCTCCATAGACCCATGAAAACAGCCCTGCAAATTTCAAGCAAATCATGGTTCTCTTTCATCTGCCGCTGTGGAAATATCAGGGCTTTGCATCCGGGTACTAGAGAAAAATGCAGGAAGCCCATCTGGTGGGGAAGCCCACAGCTCAGCCCTCGGGCTCTCCCCACCCCCTGCGTCTGTTGCCAGCAGGTGCTACCTTGATCTCTCCCACCAGCTCCACAGTCCCGGTCACTTGGACGAGGATCTCCTCCTTGAAGACAAGTGGGCAGTGGAACTTGGCTCTGGGCAAACAAGGCTGCCAAGAATGAAGAGAGCAGGGGTCAGTGAGGCCTGTCTTCCCACCTGCACTCTGTCAGCCCCCACCCCAACTTCTGAGCCCATGGGCCCGGACCTCAGCCACACTGGGCAGCCTCTCGAGATCCTCACGACGGCAGGTCACAGCAGGCTCCTAGGAATGATGAGACGGGGCCTTCGGTTAGTCCAGAGCAGAGAGAGGATGCTGGCCCCTTAAGGCCAGAACGTGGCCTCCCTCCCCACTTGCCGGATCTGGGGCATCCCAGTTCACTCCCACTGGCTCTTGGCAGATTCGGAAATCACTGCGCCCAGCAGGATGCATCCATCCTCACTCCCTTCCCACACATCTGTATCCCTTTATGGGCTCACTCCCACCGACCTGGGTGTCTCTCCCCCCTCTGGGCAGTACTCACCATCTGCACACTCCACTTGTGTGTGATGGGCCCCTCGTTGTGAGGCCCCGGCACTCCAACCAAGGCCTCCAGGGCAGGCATGTTGTAGTCATAGACAGAAGGCTGAATCCTCACCTAGGACAGAGGACACGGGCCCGCAGAGCCCTAAATGCCAGCCGCCCCTCCAGCTGCCCCTCCAACCACCCCTCCAGAGGCAATCCTCACTGGCTGAGGCCCGAGGGACGCGTGGGGGAGATGTCAGGCCAGCGCGGGCTACCTATGCCCCTCTGCCTTCTCCTCGGGGCAGACCCTCGCACACCCGGCAAGGTACCACTCAAGTATCATCTCTGATGGTTCGGCTGACGCCCCCAGGGGAGCGCGGCTACCCCGCCATGTGTTCCCACAGCACTGCCCGTTCCCAGCAGGACGTGGGTCTGTCTGTCCACGGACTGCACGCTCCGTGAGGGCAGCCCCTGTGGCTTCTTTCCCTAGCAATTCCCTGCTGCCTGACACACTACTTAGCACACAGCAGGCCTCCAGAAAAATCGATGCCTGAATGAGCGAAAGAAAGAACAAAGGGCATTTAACAAGGATAGATGCAAAAATTGTTGGCACAATGCAGGTTGGGAAGGACTCACTTTGGCGAGGGCACTGAACTGATTTAAGAAACAAGTCCTGAGTACCTTTTAGATGAAAGGGCCAACTGTGCGAGGCCTGGGAGACCCAGAATCGGAGAAGAAAGTGACTCAGGAGTAGCACCATGGAGCCACGGCTCAGGGAGGCCAAACAGGGAAACTAATATCCAGTTGGAGAGGTTCTACCATTAGTCACTCGACAAACATTTGTGGACGCTTGAAAAAGATCAGGTATGTTAAATTGAAAAGGCCTAACGTCAGAGGCAGCATTTGACTTTAACCTGGAAGACAGAGAGGACTGGAACAGATGAAGATGGTGGAAGGCACCCAGGAAGCGAAAATGTGGGGAGTCAGGACAGCACCAGGCGAGTGTGACACAGCGGGAGGTAGGGGGCCTGGGACAGAGAGGAGGTAGGACATACGTCTGGAAAGGAGACTTGGGGTGAGACTGTGTGCCCAGAAAGCCTAAGGCCAGAAATCAGGGGACCCTCAACTAGGCAAGGCGAGTCACGGAAGACAGCTAAGGAGGGCAGGCTCTGGGGGGCTCCCTCACGCCAGGCCCAGAACGGAAAGGGGTGGGGAAGGCAGGCCGAGATCCAAGCTGGCAGCCTGTGCCAACAGCTGTAAGAGAGAGAGGAACCTGAGTCTGAACAGTAGTGGGGGCCAAGGAGACAAGGGAATACGGAATAGAAGTTGAGGAGGCAGGGGGGCCCGGCACGGAGGAAGGACAAATTCACCCAGACTTGGAAGTTTTGCTTGAGGAAAAGGGTGCTCTTGAGCACCCCTCCGGTGATGCTGGCTTAGGGGAAAGTGATACATTTGGTTTAGAACATGTTGAGACAAAGCTTCAAGAGGAACAATTGCACTCCTAGGTATATACCCAAGATAAATAAAACGTGTCTGCACCAAAACTTGTGCAGGAACGTTCAAGCAACACGGTCTATAAAAGCCAAAAAGTGGAAACCACCGAGATGCCCACCAGCTGACGCCCGGACAAATCTAGCTCGACCTACCTCACGATGTAATATTATCTGGCAATAAAAAAGAATATAGAACTGGCCCGGGCTACAACGCGGATGACCCCTGAAAACACCATGCGAACTCAAAGAAGCCAGTCACAAAAGACCCCATACTGTAGGATTCCTCCCCTACATAAAGGTTCTTTCTGGAATAATGAAAATCTTCTAAAATTAGATTGTGGTGATGATTGTACAACTTTACTAATATACTAAGAGCCACTGAACCGTATGCTTTATTATTTTTTTAAAAAGATTTTATGTACTTATTTGAGAGAGAGACAAAGAGAGCACAAACAGGGGGAGGGGCAGAGAGAGAGGGAGAGGGAGAAGCAGATTCCCCGCCGAGCAGGGGGCACGACTCAGGGCTCAATCCCAGGACCCTGAGATCACGACCTGAGCCAAAGTCAGACCCTTAAGGGACTTAGCCACCCAGGTGCCCCTGATCTGTACAGGTAAATCAGGGGTGCCTGGGTGGCTCAGTCGGTTAAGTGTCTGCCTTCGGCTCAGGTCACGATCCCAGGGTCCTGGGATCAAGCCCCGCTTCGGGGCTCCCTGCTCAGCGGGAAGCCTGCTTCTCCCTCTCCCTCTGCCCCTCCCCCCATTTGTGTACTCTCTCTCTCTGAAATAAAATCTTTTTTTTAATAAAAGCAGGTAAATCGTATGGACTGTGACTTTTATCTCATTCTATCATAAAGCTGTTAAAAGGCGGAAAAAGATGCTCGAGGGCATCTGGGCGGAGAGCAGTGACAGGCTGCGGGGCCAGGCGCGCCGGGGGAGCAGGAGGGTCGTGGTGCGGAGTTGCGAGCTGGGAGGGGGACTCGAACTGTGGGAACGCATGCCGGGCGGGCAGTGAAGATGGGGCGCATGGGGAGACGCACGTAAGAACGATCGCCATTTGCTGAATGCTCAGCTCGCTGGGCATCCTGTGGTTCTGGCCGAGTGCCGGCGTCTGTGGCGGGCAGCACTGTCCCCGTGTCACAGAGGGGAGGACTGAGGTTCAGGGAGAAGAATCTGTCTGAAGTGATCGGGGAGCAGAGCGGGCATCTGAACCCAGGCTGCGCCTCCAGAGACTGGATGGGCTGTGCTCTATCACCTTCCTTGGATGATGGACCCACCCAAAGTAGGTGCGGTTATCATCCCCATTTTACCAATTGAAAAACTGAGGCTCAGAGAGGTTAACTAAACTGCCCAAGGCCACACAGCTTGAAATGGCAGAGCTTTAAAAAGATTTCAGGTCTGGCTGAAGCCTATGCGCCTAACCGGCCAGGGGAGAGGGAGACCATGAGGAAGAAGACCCCATGGGCCGGCTGCCCAGCTCTCACTGGATTACCATGCCCGCTGAGCTCACAACAGACCCCAGCTGACCTCCCTGTGGCAAAAGGGGCCTAACAGGAGAGCTTCCGGCAAGAGGGAAAGATCCCCAGTGTCCCACGCCTAGTTGGGTTCCGTTAAAACAGACATCATCAGGGCCTTTAGCAAGAGTGACTGCGCGGTGGGCCAGGCGGCAGGGAGCCAAATGCAGAGCTTAAGATGCTGGAGGGTGCTGACGTGGCTGGAGGTGGCCAGAGGCATCTGGCTCTGATGACTATCCCGAGAGAGAGAGAAATGGGGTGTGTGGGAGCAGGGGGGAGCGCAAAAGGTTTGAGTTGGTTCCCAGAGGAGTGGGGCAAGAAGGGAAGCAGGCTTCCACAGTCGCTGAGGAATCTCCAGGCTGGGGCCCAAGACCCGCCTCAGCCATTAACAGCCTCCACTCCCCAGGCACCGGGCCAAGCACTCCACGGGGAGTTAGTACCCCACTTCAACCTCACAACACCTGCAAGTTCTCGTTCCGAACGCCATTTGTCACAGCAGGGAACTGAGGCATGGACAGTTAAGCCCTTGGCCCAAGGTCACACAGAGATCCAGGGGTAGAGTTGGGGTTTGGATCCATGCCTGTCCAAGTCTTCCCCACTATTCTGCTGGCAGAAGGACTAGTCTGCCAACCTCCTTGGGGAACCCAGAGGCATCCCAGCGAACAGCACTAGAAACCAACCCTACTGGCCATTCTCTATGCAAATGGGCATCTGACCTCCCCAAGGGCCCCTCTCCTCCATCATCTATTCCAGAGGAGATGGCTCCAGCCTCTGTTCTAAACGGGCTACCTGCCTGGGGTCCCTTTCCTGCTGGGTTCCTGCCCCAGTCTGCCCTGACGCCAACATGGCCTTGGGCAAAGACAGTTTCTCTTTGGGGCCTCAGTTTCCTCCATGGGAAAACAAGAGTGCCTTCGGCAGTCAGTGCCTACTCCTCTCTGAGGTTACCTCTAAAAAGGCCTTAGACTCCTGGAGCTTTAGTCTCAGGGGCTGGCCTCCCTCTTCTTTGTTCCCATGAAGATTGCTATTACAGCTCCGAGCATATGGCATGAGAAGTGACAGATCATTAACACAGAGGTTAAACACATGAAATTTGGTATTCCAATAAGTGCTGGAATCTGACCTTTCCCCTTTAAGTGGCTGGGTAACCTGGCAAGTTACTCGGCCTCTCTGTGCTGTGGATGTCTCATCTGCACGCTGGGAATGGCCACGCCTCTACCTTCTGGGGTGAGAATCACAGGGGAGGGGGTCACATCTATAAAGCACCAGGCAGAGAACTGGGTCAGGGGCCCTGACGGACTTAGGTAAGAGAAAAGTACCTAGACTAGAACTGTGGCTCATTGAACGTGTGAATGAAAATCTAGGTTCCCTCTCAGAGTGCTTCTGGCTCTCAAGCTCTGCGATCCCACAAAGGATCCAGTGCTGGAAATGAGCTGGAAGCACTTCCGTGGGGGCTGTGAGGAGCTCTAGAAAGGATCACGGGATGAGGCGGAGGGCGCCGGGTTCGCCGAGGATGAGGCTCGTGTCTCTGCAGCCTCCACGCTTTCCTCAGGATGGGGCTGGAAACCGTGTGACCCAGAAGGGCCTTTTCACACGGAGGTTCATACCTGGTAGAAGTGTTTGACAAGGTGGCTCTTGGGACCCTTGGGGGTGAAGCTGACATACAGTGTGGAGTTTTCCTTGCTGTGGAGAGAGGGAAGAGCAGAGGTAGAAAGAGGAGAAGACAAGGACCCAATCTCCAGCAGGGCAGGGGCCCGGGCCAGGGGAAGCCTCTGAGGGAACCCCCCAGGGACCACGCAGCCTTGCTCTCATGTAACCTTCCAGCGCTCTGCTGTTTCCCTTTGGAAAGTGAGGTTCGTGGAAGGGGTCTGTCTGTTGCCCAGCGTCCTGCCGTGGAGGGCCAGGGCTGGAACCCAGGCGGATGTGCCTTTGGAGCTGTGTGCTCCCCGCCACACAGGGTCCCCACCTCAAGAGGGTCTCCACTGTCCTCTGGGTCCTTCATCTCCCACATAATGGCACCAGCCTCTGGCTTCCTCGCCATCCCATCCTTCCAATGACCTTCCTAACGTCACTGTCTGATCCTGCCACCTGCCTACTCGGAATCCGCCAATGGCCCCCTGCTGCCTGCAAGGGTCAGGCCCACAGCCCCCCATGTCCAGTCCTGCCCACTGCACCCCACACACACCTGTTGTCCCCCACGCCTGCGCGCTCCCTGCTCCCCAAATTTACCCCACTGCTTGCTGCTTCGTCTATGCTCTTCTCTCTCTCTCTCTCTCTCTCTCTCTCGGGAGAACGTCCTTCCTCCTCCCTGGCCCTTATCTGAACCCCCTCATTCCCCAGACCCCAGTTTAAGCCCCCACCTCTCCATGAACCCTCCCATCACTCCTCCAACCCAAATCACCTCTCCTGGCTCTAATTTCATATCGCACTCCAGATAATATCATTGTGTTTGGCATTTGCCTTCAAAAGCACCAGAGACCTTGGCTCAGTCACTGTCCCTGTCCCCCTCTCACTGAGCCAACCTGAGAAAGCTACTCTGCTTTTCGGGCTTCATCCTCTTTTCTGTAAATGAGAAAATCCAACTGGGGATTCCCATGGGTCCTTCCCACCATAACCTTGTGAGACTTACTGATTCTGTGTACGCGTGAACTTGGCCTCTCCTACCTGACTATGAGCTCTCTGTGGGCAAGAACCATTGTGAACAGTTTCTCCTTCTCTCTCCCAGCGCTCCTGGCCCCCAGGAAGCGGGGGGCATCTAGCACGGGGTTTTGGAGTCAGACAGACCCAAATTCGGACGCCAGCATCAGTGCTTCCTAGCCGTAAGACTCTGAGTGAGTTCCTCCCTTCTCTGAGCCTGCCTGTTCCCTGGTAACGTGGAGAGAGGCACAGCTGCCCCCTGAGGGGCTGAAAGCTCCAGGGGAGGCCCCAGCTGTGCACTGTAGCGAGCACAGTGTCTGAAATAAGGTCAACACTCCGTGTGCTTTTTCTTCCATCAGTAAACCATTGATCTCAGAACTCCTAAAGGGCCTCCACTCTTTGGGGTGTTGAAAACTCTTGGGGTTGTGGCTGGAATCAGTTCTAATTACCCCTGGGGGGCCAGAGGAAAGGAGGAGGCTCTGAAGGAGAGCCCCGGGGGGCAAGGCTGAGCCCTGGGTGGGGGAGGTGGAGGTGGGAGGAAAGGGCTGGTGGGCGGCTCAGGACTTACTCCTCAGTGAGGATGTTGATGGGGTACAGGACGGGGATGCTGGTGGCGGCCAAGTTGTTCCCCAAGACGTCTGAGTCCTCATTGTCACTACACGGGGGCAAGGCAGAGGCCAGTGTTAGGAGAAGCGCGTGGCCAGGACCGTGTGGCCGTCTGCGAGCCGGGGCGCCTGCCTGGGGCCTGCTCACCAGCTCACATTGGCGTGCAGCTTGACAAAGTCCCCCCAGGAGCTGTTCAGCAGCGTATGAAACATCACCTGGATGACAACCTGGCAGGGGAGGAGAGGGCAATGAGGAGGGAAGCACCTCAGGGCCCCCAAGCCCAACTGCTGTGAGACCGGGGACCACTGTTATTTAGCCCCATAAATAGGTGTTTTATCCCCATTGTACAGATGAGGATCCAAAGTTCCAAACATTTAAGTCGTGTGTAAGGTCACAAAATGAATAACCCAACCCCAGGTTTGTCTGATTCCAAAGTCCAAGCTGTCATTCCCTTTGGGGTAGGAGGGGGGAGCTTCTTTACCCATCACCTGCACCCTTCCCTCCCTACCTCAGCCCAGAGCCCCTCGGCGGCGGCTTGGCTCCTCGGGGTTTGAGGCACTCACCGAGCTGCTTGCTCTGAAGATGGGAGAGCTCACGTTGCAAGAGAGGATCCTGGTCAGAAGCTCAGATACCTCGGGAAGCTCCTCGCAGCTCACAGGTATCTGGCTGTGGGGCTGGGGGTGAGAAGAGAAGGAACAGACTTCTTAGTGGGCAAGGCCAAGGTTCCTGGAGGCCACCAACCCTCAGGGCCCACGTCCCCCTGCTCTGTATCTGCCAGGGCATATTCTCAGGGGGAGGGGGGGAATCAGGGGCACAGCCAGAGGCTTCATTCAAAGATGTCCACCACAACGCTATGTATAATTGTGAAAATCCAGAAGTGATCCAACAGTTCAAAGAGCCAGGAATGGTTCGGCGCGCTGAACAATCCCAGGCGAGGATACAGTGAGATCTACACAGTCAGCAACCATTTTTAAAGTGAGCTCAAGCCTTGATCCTGGGCTAAGCGGCATAGAACCATTCATCTTCACCATCATCTGGGAGGACGGATCTCAGCCTCAGATCGGGGAGGGACTTCGATAAGGAAACAGAGGCTTGGGGAAGTCCGGTGACTTCCCCGGGTCCCACCCCTGGGTCATCTGGCAGGGATCTGGTAGGAAAGTGAACACAGGTCTGTCTGACTCCGGATCTCGAGTTCTACACCACTCTACTAGATGCCCCGTGAGGAAGCATTTAATGTTGCTGGGTGAGAATAATTCAAATGTCCACCGACAGATGACCGGATAAACAAAATGCGGTCTATCCATACAATGGAGTATTACTCAGCCTTAAAAAGCAAATTGGCCCATGCTGTCATATGGACGCACCTCACAAATGCCATGCTAAGTGAAGAAGACAGACACGAGAGGACAATATCCTATGATTCCACGTCTGTGAAAAATCTAGAATCGGCCAATTCACAGAGACCGAGAGTAGATGAGAGATGACCAGGGGCGAAGGGTGGGGAATGGGGAATTACAGCTTTTAATGGATTGAGAGCTTCTGTTTGAGATGATGGGAAAATTCTGCAAGCAGATGTGCTTGTGGCACAAGATCGTGAATGTTCTCAGTGCCACTGAATTGTACGCTTGAAAAGGGCTAAAGTGGCACATTTGCTATTACATATATTTTACCACAATAACCGTTTGTTTTAAAACCAAGGAGGAAAAATAACCAAATGGAGAGCAAATTGCCAATCAGTAAAAACAAGTACAGGATGAATGAATATGCAACGTAATTTATATGTATGTGTGTAGATACACAGCACGATAAACACTAAAATATTAAAAGTAGTAAGTGCTGAGTTGTAGGAGTATGGGGTGACAGTCTTCTCTAAACTTCTCTGTGATTTCCAGCTTTCTGTGGTGATCACGTATTACTTCAGCGCTGAGAATTAACAAAGTAAAAGTTGTATTTAAAACAACCCAGGCTTGGTGGCGCCTCGGTGGCTCAGTCGTTAAGCGTCTGCCTTCGGCTCGGGTCGTGATCCCAGGGTCCTGGGATCGAGCCCCGCATCGGGCTCCCTGCTCTGCGGGA